GGCAAGCCAAAGTATCCCACTTATATTCCTATTGAGCTTTGTTCTTTGGTGTCCTTGCAATGCTATACAAAAGCCCTGAACGTCATGCAAAGAGCTTATCTGGTTGAAAAATCTAGACAAGAGCTATAGGAAAGGATGAGGAGGTTGCCAAATATTTGAGAACATCCAAAATTCCTGGAGCTGCACAGTTTCTCCTTTCTGCTTTACCTAATAAGAAAATTCTTATCTTTATGCATCTTGTCGAGCTTGGCCTAGTCATACAAGTGTATGGCTCTAACTAGGGTCAATAATCAGTACCTTACAAATTTACTCCTTAGAATCAATGAAAAGCTTAGAGGACTGAATTCGATGTCAGTAATTGAGCAAACATCTTCAAATCCAGTTGTTTCTAAGGGTCCAACTATCATCCTTGGCATAGATGTGTCCCATGGTTCTCCGGGGCCGTCTGACATCCCATCAATTACTGTGGTGGTTAACTCTAGGCAGTGGTCTTTAATTTCCCACTATAGGACAATTGTGTATACACAATATCCGAAGCTTGAAATTATAGATTCTCTTTCAAACCATCTGGAAGAGATGATGAGGGTATCATGAGGGAAGCTCTACTGGATTTCTATACAAGTCCAGACAAAGGAAGCAAATTCATCAGGGACACAATTTGCTAGGGCAAGAAGATATTGTCACAAGTCAAGATTTTCCAGGATAGAATGAAGATTGCCCATGCAATCATTCCCACCAGTGATTGAGAAAACATACATCAACACATACATATATGTTACATGAAATTTGCATCTTTGCATCAAATATTTATCATCATGTGCAATAAAGACATTTTTCCCCTCTCATGAGGAAAAATTCAAAAAATTCATCAAATCAATCACATAAAGCAAACTTCATCATGACACCTATAAACATTCAAGATAGTCAGTCATAAATACATCATTTCGATCTTTCAGGAAATAAAAGCTTGGAAATGACCAGATGTCTTCAACCTGAAAGAGCAATGCCATCCACAGATTTGACTTCCTGAAGTCAACAATCAAATCTTCTTAAGACATTTCCTCAACATGCAGGATTGGACAGTCTACAATCACTTGAGATCTTCTTTCTCAAAACAAATTCTGTCTCGCTTAAGATATTTTTCCAAAAAATTTTGAAATTTTTGAAACAAATATTGTCTTGCTTGAGACAATGTCTCTCAAAATAAATTTCGTCTCACTTGAGACAGTTACCTTTGGAATACAAATTTCAAAGTTTGTTTTACTTGAAACAAAATTAATCTCACTTGAGATTGTTTCTTTCAAAAAAAATTCGTCTCACTTGAGACAATTTTTCTTTAAAACGCAAATTCTGAAATTGTTTCACTGAAACAAAATTGATAAAAACTTTGAGATTGTTTTCCTCGAAACAAAGTTTTGTCTCCTTTGAGATAGTTTCTCTTGAAATAAAACCATCTTTGAGATTGTTTCCCTTAAAATGAATTTTGTCTCTCTTAAGACAATTTTTCTTGAAACATCATCTTTAAGTTTGTTTCCCTTGAAATAAATTTTGTCTATCTTAAGACAATTTCTCTTGAAACAAAATTAAAAATCTTTAAGTCTGTTTCCCTTGAAACAATGTTTTATCTCTCTTGAGACAATTTCCCTTGAAACACCAATCTTTGAGTCTGTTGCTCTTGAAACAAATTTTGTCTCTCTTGAAATGGTTTCCCTTGAAACTATTATTCCTAAAGATGACCCGTCGTCCTCATCACGTAAGAATCGTGTCATCCCCCCGACCAGACCTCCTCATCACGTAGGATCCATGTCAACCTCAGATAACCAGTCGTCTTCATCACGCAGGAACTGTGTTATCATTCCTAAAACTGGCCAGCCATCCTCATCACGTAGGATCCGTGTCATCCCCTGACCAGACCTCCTCATCACGTAGAGGCCATATCACCCCTAGATAACCAGCCGTCCTCATCACGTAGGAACCGTGTTATCACCATTCCCTAAAGATGTCCAGTTGTCCTCATTACGTAGGAACCGTGTCATCCACTGACCAGATCTCCTCATCACGTAGGAGCCGTGTCACCCTTAGACGACCAGAACTCTTCATCACATATGAGCAGTGTCATCCCCAACACCAAATATATCCAATTTTAAAAGCAAAAAAAGTAAAACCGGACAAAAACTTGTTGTCTTTTCGTCATTGCCCTATTCATGTTAACATAAGAATTGGCAAAGAGGGGTGGCTATAGACACCCGTTTTTATCCGGGTTCTCGTTTTTATTAAAGTATTATTATTAATGAATTAATTTACATTTTTAGGCAAAAATTACAAAGCCTATTACAACTTAACCTGAGACCCAACTAAGGCCAATATGGAGCCCAAATTACAATATCAACCCAGAGCCCAACAATTGATCTGACCCGGTACCAGCCCGACCTGAAGGGGACCCAAACCAAACCGACCCAAGTCTAGGACCCGCACCTAAACCCGTTAGGGTTTTCTCATTCAGGGTTCCATACGACACAACCACCAGACATTTTAATTCCCACCGGCACGTGAGATGCACGCGCTCTTTTAGACCGATGCATGAGTCATTGTCGAGCAATCCCACGCTGCCGTCGTCACCAAATATGGCCAAATAATGAGCAAACAACCCTGAAATTCAGAACTTTAAGTACCTAAATCCCGAAATTCAGAATTTTACCAGCCCCAGTCAGAGAATCATTCCCCTATGTTAGAGATGTCATCATATCTACCAAAAAGATCCATAAATAAAGAAGAGAACATTCGGGGTAGGGGAGGAAAAAAAGAAAAAAAAACCCTTTGAAAAAAAAGGAAAAACTGATAGAAAAAGGAAAAGAAGGAAAAATGAGATTTTACCTTTCGAGAATGAGTGGTTGTCGACGTTTCGTCGGAGTTAGGAGGGTCGTCTGAGCACTGAAGGTAATCCCTTTATTTTTTGGGTTCTCATTTGTTTGAGGAGGGCAGGATGGGTTAGGGACTTTAAATCAGGGTTTAAGGGGGTTGTTTAGGGTAGGAAAGCCCCTCATCATAGCGGTTAAGGGGCTGTGGCTTTTGGGTTCCTCATATGTTGAAAGAAGAAGAGGGGAAACAGGAGGAAATTGAAAGAGAGGCTGAGAGAGGGGCTGTGGAAATTGTATAGGGTTTCAGAGGAAACCCGTAAACAGGTTTATATCCCACGCATGAAACATCGTCGTTTAACTGGGGGTTAAGTGTGTTTTGGGTTATGGGATAATAGCAACATTAGTCCTCGTTATTTTGTAATCTAACACGCATGTTTTCAAAGTTTAGGGGGTAAATCATAGTTAAGTATATTCTCATTTGTAATACTTACATTTAAGCCAGTAATGAAATTTTATGATATTTTGTTTTGGGCATCTATTTTTCCTTTTTTATATTTAAGTCGCCGTCACGTTTATTATGCAATGTTTGCTAATATTTGAGTTTGAACCTAGGTTTTATGATTCTTTTGTTTTAGTCACTATTTAATAGGAATATATTTAGGGTTAACTATTATTTGTCCTTTTATGTTTCTGATTTATTTTAATTTAGTCCTTAATATTATTTATGGGTTAATTTCGTTTCCAACATCTATACTATCTAATTTATGCGATCTTGGCTCTAGTTTATTTGTAATTGTTGTTTAGCCTTTCAAGTTTTTGTTAATTCCATTTTGGTCCGTTATTTATGTGCACATTGGTATTATTATTTCCACCTTGTTTTTATAATTCATCATTGTTTTTTATGTAAGTAAATGGGAAAATTTCATTGTGAGGGAAATCTATGAAGACATCTCCCAACTACAAGGGAAGGTGTCTTTACGAGGATATTTCGCATAGATGTTTGTGTTGTATTCGATAATTTTTTTTATTCCACGTTTATTTATTTTGATTTTTTTCACCTCTTTTCACTTTTATTTTGTTTTATTTTATATGTGCGAAAAATTACAAAATAACGTCTTTTGTGGAAGGAATCTATGAAAAAGTCTCATAACTCTAAAGAAAATGTATTTTCAAGGATTGTTAGTACAAAATTACACATTTTCTCTCATAAAAATAATTATAATATTTTTTGGGTCATTTAATCTTTTTGATCCATTGCTTTCCTCATTTTAAGTTGTTGTTTTTTTGGAAATTAACACTTATTTAAATAAATAAAAGGATCATAATTTAAATATATTTTCAAAGTTTGTAATTCTCAATATTTAAACAACATAAAATCGTTTAGGTACCAAAATTTGGACGTTGTGTGGGTGCTCACTCTTCCCCACACGTAATCGACTCTCGAACTCTTAAAAATAAATCTTTTGTAAGACAGACTATTTTTGGTCGTTTAAAGTTTCCATCCTACCTGACTTAAAGGTTGGTGACGACTCCAAAATCGAATTATTTTCGAAATTATATTTCATCGCTTTCCTCCAAATTTAACAAAAAATTTTAAGTCTAACGGAACCCCTGGGAAACGTTATGGCAAACACCCCGTCAAATAAATCCAAAGTTTTTTTTAGTAATAAATAAATCCAAAGTTAGTTTGCATTTAACGGACTTATTCATCCTAATGTAACACTGATCAGATATCAAAATTGAAATTAAAAATCTCGAAACTGTCATTAATTTAATCAATCCATCTTTCTATGTCTACTATATTTCAAGTCACAGTCTCAAAAAATTGAGTAACATCCGACACAAATATAAACATTTTCCAAAGAAAAAAAAATCGAAACTGGAAGAAATGCAGGGATGAATGTAAGATTTTAAGTTAAAATGATGAATTTGAATTTATAAAATTTTAAAAGATAAAAAATAAATTTTTAATAAAAATATAAAAAAAATTAAAATATTTGATTATTTTAAATTTTAGATGAGGGTCCACCCGCTTTCCTAGGTCCATCATGAAGAAATATATATGGGGAAGCAAAAGACATTCCTCCATAGCAGCTTCGCATTATTCCTTAATGGCAACAACATTCCATGTCGTTTCTCATTTGCAGTACAAATATAGGCAAAAACGTAAACAAGATTATAACATGGCCATACATGATTCAAGTCCTTAGCATAAAAGAAAAGAAAACACAAGAACTAAAAGGATTGGGAATGATGTATTACTGGGAAGATATCTTAAGATTAAGGGACTTATTAATCCATGCCTTCCAATTGCCGCTTCCTTTCCTGGTAACCGCTTCACTTGGCTTTCCATCACCTTCCAATTTCTCCCTTCTTGGCTTCTTGCACAATATGAAATTCCTTGCCCCTCGTGATCCAATTGTCTCCCATGGATTCAGTGCTGCAATCACAGCACGAACACAAAAAAACATACATGATGACTTATACCAAAAATCCGAAAAAGAAAGAGAACAAATCCTGGGAAATTTTCAGTCGTATTATTGAAGTGAAAACAATTCAATTGACTTACCATCGGAGCTTGCGCTGGGGCAAAAAAGAAAGAAATCATTGATGTCGGATCCAAGAACCGGACGACGACCCTCACGAGCATAGGCTTTCAAAGAAGTTTCAATAACAGAAGGAACAAGCTCTTCTTCGTTAACAACGAAACGGATCGGCCCAGCACTTCCCAAAACAGTGATATTAATCAAGATCCTATTCCCCTTAGGATCCCAAGTCTTCTTCTGCTTGTAAAGTACCATTTTCACTTTTTTCCCCAAAATAAAACGATCAAACGAGCGAATATTACACCAAAAACTGTTATTCGAAATGAAAAAACAACGGGTTTATTTTGCTTTGCTTAGATCCGAAATAAATCGGGGTGACCACCGGATATTAAGAGGGATTCCTGGTTATAGATTTATGGGTCAAGGCCAAGACAGCGGTAATACCAGGCAGCTTTGCAAGAACCGAAAGCGAAAATAGAGACCGAAGAAACAGAGAAGAGAGTGCTCGCCCTTGACCTACAAAGGGAGAGCATAAAATTGCTGGTGATCCCAAGTGTTTCCACCATTCACAAGTCTTAAAAGAACAAAGTTCTTTATTTTAAAAAGGCACAGAAAAGGGTAGAAATGAAATCTGGGTATTTGCAGATTCGGGGAATTCCGTAGATTTGAGGAAGAAGAGAGGCGGTTGAGACTTTTGAGAGATTGTGAGGATATTTATAAGAGAAAAAGCGCAGAGTTTTAATGGCTGTGATTTTTGGAAGCTAAGAACAAATCTTAAATTTGATTACATATCGGAAATTTAGGGATGGCTTCTTAGGAATAGGGGCTGGCAATTTGCGCCCATATTCCTTCCATTATATGCATGACAAGTGGCTTTTTATATACCTTCTTAATTATACATCGTAGAAATCAAATCATAGAAGCACAACCATTGGAACGACTCGAAGGGTATATAAGGTAAAACAATATATTCTAAAATCTAGTAAATTCCAAGCAATAAATCAAATCCATTAATTGATTTACTTGTTTTAAAAAAAATACTTTTATTTTTAGATAAATTATATTATTGGTTATTAAGGTTTGAAATCCATTTCTTTCTCATTAATGAAGTTTAAAATGCTATAAATAAAAAATGTTAGGGTAAACTACTAGATTGATCACTTTCCTTTTATATTTGTGTCGTAACCGTCCTTCGGGTGGGTCTGGAATTGAACTTTTACTTAAATAAAACATGTTAGAGTCGTCACCGATCATTTAGAAAAAAATTTAGGTTGATCGAACACCCCAATTTATCATCTTACATGATCTATGTTTTACCAGAAATTTTTCGGGTTCGGGAGTTGGTTACAATCGAGGAAGGATTAGCACCCTTGTACTGTTCTTTCAGTACCAATTTAATTTTTCGGTTGTCTTAATTGCGAAAATTAAAATTTAAAAGTTCGATCCAAATTACTTACCCTTGAAGTATTTAAAATTGACCCTAAAAATAATGAATCAAATCAGTGTTAATATTAAGACAAAACACAATTAAATTGAGAAATATAACATAAAAAACTTTAAATTAAAAGGATTTAACTTGAAAAAAATTGAAATTAAGGACCAAATTGATATTATTCGAAAGTTGAAAAAAAAATTACGAGGGGTCAATTTGCAAAATATAAGGAATTTAAACAAGGATTAAATTGAATAAATTCAAAATTTGAGGGCAAAATTACAACAGGTGGCCAAAATGAATTACGCATCGAAAGTACAAGGATTGCAGAAAAAATTTATATATTTGGTAATTGCATAAAGGTCCTCCATATACATATATATATATATATACACCTTAAACCCATTTTCAAACTCATTCTTACTAAAACTCCCCTTAAACTCTCTCAATCCTCTCCTTCCTCTCCAACCGGCCCCGATGATCGTCCGGTGGCCAAACACCGCTGTTCCGCCGCTCTGGCGACCCAAAAAAACCAAACTTACCTAACACGCTCTCCCCAACCTAGTGAGCACGAAACAGAGGCCAAAATCTCGTAAAAAAGTATTGAAAAGTGTATATATATGCCCAAAGTTTCGATTTTTACCTTGAAACTGACGTCCCTTCAAGTTTTGGGACTTCTGGCTTTCCACCGCCGTGCTTTCCTCCGCGCAACCTCAAAGTCAAATGCTTTATATGATTTTTCTTACTATTTCGAGTACTTCATTTTTTGGTTGCTTGCTTTTTTTTCTCTGTTTCTTTTGTGTTTTTGTTGGCTACTGTGGTATTTTCCGTTGTTTGCTGGGTTTTTCGTGGCAATCGTTGTGTTCTTGACAGATTGGGTGGGGGTATTTATACCCCACCGCTGGTGATTATTGTTTTCGCTCCCAACAGTTGTTTCCCTCGTTTTCGTTCTTTTCAGGCCATTCGGTCTTTCGTGTGATCGGTCATCCTGGGATGGTTCAATCCCGGGTCGTTTGGTCGAGAATCTCGGTCGGTTGGTAACCACGTTGGCGCATGGATTTCAACGCGCTATTTGTTTCTTCGTGCGACGCCCTCTGCTTAATACGAAATCCTAATACGATTTGGGCTTTGAATCGGGTCTACTGGGTCAGGCTACTCGGTTAGGCCTTGGACTTGGACCTTTTTTATCAGACTGGACTCGTACCCTAAAAAAATAAAAGTAAAATTAATAATAATATAATATATAAAATAATAATAAGCTTCATATATATATATATATTTTAAAGGAAAAACTATATAATATATTATATTTTCAAAAATAATATGTTTTTGAAAATTATATATTATATATTCTTCCAAGAATATTTAAAAATTATATATACGTTTTCAAAAAATGTTTTCAAAACTATATTATATATATGTTTTTCAAAAATGTTTTTAAAACCATATATTATACGTTTTCAAAACTTTTTTTAAAAACTATATATTATACGTTTTCAAAAATAAGTTTCCAAAAACTATATATTATATATTTTAAAAAATTATATTTGAAATTATTATGTATATTATGCTATATGAAAAAAAGGCCCTGGACGAAAATAAGTGTCTACAATTTGTACAATTTTGCTCATAAAATTCAAAAAGTTTAAGTTTGGTCACTTATGTTATCGATTTATTAAATTTAGTTCACTTACGTTATCAATTGTTACATTTTGGTCATCGAGTCATTAACTCAGGTTAGCTTGATAATGTGACATGTTAGTTAAAAAAGGTTAAATTTTAAGTTTACTCTTGAACTCTAGATTGAATACTAGTTAGGCCTTGAACTTTAGATAAAGTATCAATTTGACGCTTAAACTTTATATGAAACATCAATTTGACCACTAGATTCAATCAAAATCTCTCGTCACCATCACCACTCACCATAGTACATGTCGATAACCATCGGTTGTCATCTGTCATCATCTTCATCAACTGTAAGATCCCAAAATTTATTGTTCACTCATTTTTACATTTTTCAAATCGAATTTGGTATCTGTTTCACCAGAAAATATCTAAAACTCAACAAATCTAGCTTATAACTCTTCGACTTCCTTTAAAATTAAACTATAATAATATATTTATCATTAATATTCCTTTACAAATAAGTACATCAAAAATTTAAATTTATATTATAATTAAATCTATAAAGTTTTTGTTTATGATATCATTATGTTATCATTTTTTGTTATATTTATAATATTAATTATAATTTTTTTTAAAATTATAATTAATATTATAAAAAATTATACATTTCATTATGATATAAATTTAGACTTTTAGTGTCTTTATTTTTAAAGGAATATTAATAATAAATTTATTATTATAGTTTAATTTTATAGGCAGTAGAAAGGTTCTAGGGTAGATATGTTAAGTTCCAAATATTTTATGGTGAAACAGATACTAGATTCGTATTTAAAATGCTAAAAAAGAGTAAACTGTAAATTTTGGGTAGCAGTTGACGAAGAAGGTGGTCAAACAAATAATGGTGACCAATAACAATGGTGGTGTGTGGTGGCGACAACAAGAGATTTTGATTGAATTTAGGGTCAAACTGATATTTTATCTAAAGTTTAGGGTTAAAATAATATTTTATCTAAAGTTTAAGTCAAATTAATATTCTATCAAAAGTTTAGGGGTAAAATTAAAAATTAACCCCTTTTGATTAACGTGTCACATCATCAAACTAACGGAGTTAACAATCAGTGAGAAAAAAGTAACAATTGATAAAGTAAGTGACCAAAATTTAATAATCAATAACGTAAGTGATCAAAACTTAAATTTTTTATATCTAGTGAGAGAAAGTGTATTATAAAAGAAAGTGTCCAATCCAGTAGTTTATCCAAAATGTTAACAAAACAATTATTAATATTTTAATAAGTAATAAAACTATTACTCGACCATTAAATATCAAGCTTACTATGAAAATTAATTGTTCAAATTATACCTTTTTTCTATTTAAGTGTTTAAACTTTTTTTATTAATATAAGTGTCTCACATTTTTAGTATTACCATTTTAATTGTCTAGTCTATCACAAATGTTAAAAAATTGTTATTTGACATTATTGCGTTTTTACTTTTTAAAACGTTATTTAAAAATATTATAATTTAAAAACCATATTTTTATAAAATCTAAAAAAAACTCTGACTTCTAATTTTAATCCCGTATTGTCGTCGACCACTATCAACATTGTCAATCGATCACCACCAACGTCGCAAATGAATGTGGAGGCAACGTGGCTATTAATTCCACCCAAATATTTGTTGAATTTATGATTTAAAGGGTGACCGACTATTATTGATTATGGTTTAGGGATTGAGTATTTGAGATTTTAAGGATTCAAGTTTAGGGATTTAGAAATTTAATGGTTGAACGATGTCATTTTCAAAAATAATTTTTTTTATTTTTTTAATATAAATGCAACACGTATCAGATAACATATTTGTTTTTAACGATTATAACTGACCAAACATTTAAAATGATAATGTCGAACATATTAAACAGTTATATTGATAAAAAAATTGAAGTATCTAATTGAGAAAAATCATCTACAAACAAAATCAATCACTTGATAAACGTCTCTACTCTTTCCCATATTCGTTAGATACAATCTTAATTCATTCAACGAAACCTCTTGAAAAACCACTTCATAACTCAACATTTCATCAATTTTCACAACTCTTTACGCCTTTTAAATAAAACCCACACCCGTTCTCTTTTCAAAACTACCATTTATTGTCTTCCATTACGATACCCTATTCAGAGCCTTCTCCCACTCTAAAACCTCACATATCCCTCTTGCATTATACGCCCACATGCAAAGTGCCTAAGTTTCCTCTTAACTACTGCATCTTCCCTTTCCTTCTTTGATCCTTGGCCAATTTTCAGGAGCTTCAGAAGGACAAGTAGTTCAGACTCATGTCATAAAATTGGGTCATTCCCACGACATCTATTTACAAAAGTCAATGAAATCTCTATGCATCGCCTGGTGAAATGAGTTTATGTTGTCGGGTGTTGGATGAAATGCGTGACAAAAATGTTGTTTTCAAGTACTATTTTGATTATATAGTTTTAAAAATGCTGAGAAATACGATGATGCTATGCTTTCTTTTGAGCAAATGCAATATGCAGGCGTAATGCCTAATAGGGTAACTATGGTGAATGTATTGGCTGCTTGCGACAGTTTTGGTGCTTTCGAAACGAAATTTGGATTCATGATTATATAATTAAAAAAGGATAAACTACAGAGATGGTAACTCTTGTTTCACTTTTATAAATGTATGATTACTAGTTT